TCACGTTCCGCAACAGCCTTGGTTTAGTTGACTTTTCAGACGCAATACGTAACACTTTACGTATAATTTATAATGATGTGGTCGTCCCGCCATGGTCATGCACTCTTGTTTTGGTGGAAGGGCACGAAGCGTTTGATGGCGAAGGCATTGCCGACCAAATCGGCTCGCTGCTATTTAGCCATGGCATTTCGGTCGCACGAGGTATCGTCCGTCTCACTGGTGGACGCATGAATTTACTTCTGACCAACTTTAGTGCTGAGCGCCGGTACCTTCTGAAGGGCACAGCTATTGCTTCATACGACAATATCGTAGAAATGCGAGGCAGTTTATGTTTGTCGGTATTGGACGAAGTGCCTAATCAAGAACCAGAACCCGTTCTCAACGTTGGCACCACTCTGTCAAAGGACGAGCGACAGAGACTTCTTCAGCTGCTAGCCGAATTCCGCGACTGATTTTCATCGACATCACAAGTTGGTCGAACACCTTTGACAAAGCACCAAATAATCATCGAGGACACGGCGAGACCTATCCTCCAGAACCCTTATCGTGTAGCTTGAAAGCAACGCGAAGCCATACAACAACAAGTCGCGAAAATGCTTGAAGATGACGTCATTCAACCGTCACAGAGCCCCTGGGCATCGCCTGTAGTGCTAGCAAAGAAAAAGGACAGCACCCTGCATTTTTGCGTGGACTACAGGAAGCTGAATCGGGTGACCAAAAAGATGTGTACCCGCTCCCACGTATTGATGACTCCCTTGACAGACTTCGGCACGTTCGCTACTTTTCTTCCATGGACTTGAGGAGTGGATACTGGCAGATCGAGGTAGACCCAAGAGACTGAGAGAAAACCGCTTTTGTGACGCCAGATGGTTTATTCGAACTTAAAGTCTTGTCTTTCGGTTTGTGCTCTGTGCCCGCGACTTTTCAAAGGCTTATGGACACGGTACTTTCGGGATCGAAGTGAAAGACGTGCCTAGTCAATCTGGACGACGTTATAGTGTTTTCGACCACTTTTGACGAGCGTCTCAAAAGGCTGAAAGTTGTTTTACGTCCATACGGTCCGCAGGCCTAACATTGAAACCAGAAAAGTGTCATTTTTCTTTTCACGAACTTCAGTTTCTCAGTCACGTCTTCAGCAACGCAGGCGTCCGGCCCGATCTTGAAAAAAATGCCACCGTCGCACAGTTCCCAGTACCCTCCAATAAGAAGGCTGTCAGACGCTTCCTAGGCCTTTGTGCCTATTATCGCTGGTTTATCGCAGACTTCCCCGCATCGCGTTTCCACTAACTCGTCTCACAAGATAACGTTGCCTTTGAGTGGAAAGAAGAACAGGAGGCTGCCTTTAATGACCTGCGCCAACATCTTCAAACGTCCCCGGTGCTTGCCCACTTCGACGAAGAAGCCCCGACGATGCTTCACACAGACGCTAGCAATGTGGGTTTTGGGGCTGTGCTTGTGCAATGACAAGAGGACACAGAAAGAGTGATCGCCTATGCAAGCCGAACGCTAACACGCGCAGAGGCTAACTATTTAACAACAGAGAAAGAATGCCTCGCTGAGTATGGGTAGTAATGAAATTTCGCTCGTACTTGTGTGGCCGGCACTTCAAAGTTATTAGTGACCATCACTCCCTTTGCTGGTTAACTAATCTAAAAGATCCCACCAGCCGATTAGCACGTTGGAGCCTAAGACTGCAAGAGTTTGACATGACGGTCGTACACAAGTCAAGCAAGCGACATATGGGCACTGACTGTCTGTCCCATTCACCCATTGAGTCGGCAACCCTACTTGAGGAGGTGGAAATGGCATTTCTGGCCTCGACACGACCGCCATTGCGCAGCAACAAGGTGACGACCCTGAGTTGCTTGGCTTAATTAACTACTTGGATGGCAGATCTCAGAAGGCACCAAGAGTTTTCCCAAGAGTGTTGTCATCGTTTCGTTTACGGGGCGGAGTACTCTACAAAAGAAACTTTTCATCGACAGGATCCTCCTATCTGCTCGTCATTCCAGCAGCCCTTCGTACCAAAGTACTCAAAGCATGTTACAATGATGTGACCTCTGGCCATTTGGGTTACACAAGAACGTTGGCCAGAGTACAGCAAAAGTATTACTGGCCGAGACTAACCGCCGCCGTGAAGCACCGCGTTTGTACCTGTCTCGACTGCCAGCGACGCAAGTCACCACCGACTAAACCAGCTGGCCTTCTGCAACCCGTGCAGGTCCCACCAGCTTCATTCTACCAGATAGGCATGGACATTTTGGGCCCACTACCTGCTTCTACTGCAGGGAACCGCTGGTATTCTTCGCAACGGATTATCTGACCCGTTATGCCGAGACAAAGGCTATCCAGAAAGGTACAGCAATGGAAGTGACAAGATTTTTCATCGAGAATATTGTACTGAGGCATGGTGCACCAATCATCGTGATAGAGGAACCGCATTTACGGCAGCTCTTTTGGATCACGTCTTGATGCTGAGTGGAACAGCGCATCGTAAGACCACCGCCTACCACCCACAAACAAACGGGCTGACGGAGCATCTGAACAAAACCATTGAAGACATGCTTTCGATGTACGTAGACGTTGAACAGGAAAATTGGGATGAAATCTTGCCCTACATAATGTTTTCATACAACACGGCCAAGCAAGAAACGACCCGCATGACCACGTTCAGCCTCGTTTGTTGACGAGTAGTACGAACTACGTTAGATGCGATGCTACCGCGCGAAGGTGACGACATTGACTCAGATGCCGACACGTTTACAGAACGTGCGGAAGAAGCTAGGCAGCTAGCGCGTTTACGTATCCGCCAGCAGCAAGAGTATGATGCAGGGCGCTACAATTCTCACCGCAGAACAGTTGTCTATCAAACTGGTGACAAAGTATGGGTTTGGACACCCGTACGGAAATGAGGACTTTCCGAAAAGCTCTTAAGAAGATACTTTGGGTCATACTAAGTGCTGCGACAACTGAGTGATGTCACTTATGAAGTTGTTCCCGACAGTTCGTGTAGTACCAAGCGTCTCCAGCACCATCCTGAACACGTTCACGTAGTGCGCATGAAGCCTTACGTCAGCGAGTGATTGCGTGAGACTTTTCTTAAAAAAAAGCTGCATTATTGATCTCGCATCGGGTCGATGCTCTTTGAGAGGGAGGCAAATGACCCGTGTCTACATGTAAACAAAAACGATGATGGGGGGATTTAGTGGACACCAGGTGGTGGGCATCTGGTTTGACTCAAGAACGAAGAAGACAATCTTGCGGCTCAGCTGTTGAGAACACGCTGCTTTCACTGTTTCAAGGCGTACCTGTGCTTTGCTCTAATTGTACCGTGGCAATATGTAGCTACTAGATGCGAGCTTTAAATTCCTCACTTTATTTTGCTCACCACAAAATATATCATTATAATTCGATTTAAGAGTCAAATGTAATGGTAATATAATGACACATGCCGATTTCGGAAATATAAATGTCACGAGTTCCTTTCACATTAAAGGAACTTGTAACGGGAACTTGTTCCAAAATTGGGAAGGAATGAAGAACGAGCTTTTGTTATTAATTTTAGAGGAATGTGTATAACACTGTGTATGCACTTTTTCTCGCCTTTTCCCTTTGATTTACCTGCAATGCCTTACCAGGCGCAAGGAACGGCAAAGTGTGAGGCTTCTTCGAAAACATGAAAGCTAGCATCGAAGCACTGTGCTAAAGTGCACTGCTTCAATGCTGGCTTGTAGTATACTACAACCACTACCAGCTTTTAGTACTAGTTCGCATCACCAGCTTGTAGTGTACTACAAGCTGATGGGAAAGGTGCTTCTACAAGACTGCCTTTCCCTCCTCCAGCACATGCATGGAAAGAGCGTTCAGCGTAGCGGCTTATCTCTTAGCGAGAAAAGGGGGAAGAATCGGTGATGACTGCATAGAAAAACAATGCAGTTGAAAGTTAACATCTAAGGGTATATTACAGAAGCTACAGTAAACCTTCCAGCATACGAAAGACCAAAAAAGTAATCGATTCCGTTTCTGCGATTGCTCTACTTTATACTGAATTTCTCGGCGACATCGACAGCAAAAAAGCTCCCAGAATGTCTGTATAATTCATGTCGAAGTGTAGCGCGAGGCAAACAGGACACAGTAAAGAACACAGGTGCTGTTCTGTATCCCATCATACAAGTACATACAAGGAGCAGGCCTTATGTGAGTACTTACTGCGCCTGGGATAGCGCCTGCCTTGTGTGTTCTTCCTGTGTCCTGTTTTTCTCGCGCTATGTTTCGGCATTAGTCTATATCAACTCACCCAGTAGGATACGTTACTTCAGTCCATCACGATAAGAAAATCAACGGGGCTACACAGACGCACAAAGATTTCAACATGCCTCCAGAACTTGAGGTTCCCCATTGACCTGAGGCACCTTCACCTTCCTACTTTCTCCCCCCCCCCCCCCCTTATTGCATACACCCACGCATATGCACACTTAAATCTTTCCTCGCATGCTTTCTTCTGCATCTCGGCTTACCTAATGCAGGAAGCGCTGGTGGTGAAGCCTTTGTTGGAGGGCAGACTGCCGCTATCTTGCAGACTATCTGTGTGGGTGCAAGGGCTGGACGAGCCGAGAGCAGCAGATTCCAGCTTTTAAAAATACTGTTGCTGATTAGTGCACATGATCGGCATGTGGAGCTTGGCCGCTGCAGTGTAAAATCAAAGCTCTGCATCCATTTTCATGCATAAATTAAGTAACATGCTCTCTTTGAGCTCATCAAGCAAACACATTTGCTGTCAAAACAGTGAGAGCAGAGTCTATGGCTACATTGCACTTATGGTGATGACAGCAGTTCTGACAGCCCTCCCCCTTCCTGTGCAGTCCGGGCGTACGAATTATTGGTTATAACAATGAAATCTTTAAAGCATTTGAGTGTTGTTATGAGTGGGTGTGACTGTGTATGGTTTGAAAGTCAGCATATGTGGTGTCTAAAAGTTTTTCTTGGCTCGCGTGTTGCAGACAAAGTACGGGAATCAAGTGGATGCGTGCTAGTGCATTGTCTGGCCGGGGTGTCTCGGTCTCCAACTGTGGCCATCGCATACGTCATGCGACACCTAGGTCTCTCATCGGACGATGCCTACCGGTGAGGAGGATGTGCTGTGGTAGAACAACTTAGTGCAGTCTTCTGTGCATTGTAATAATGCACGAGACAGGTATGCGACGTCCCTCACTTTTGTTGCAACTTGTGAACAAAGCTGTGAGTGATTATGAACTGCGGGATTACCATTGTATGTATGTAAAAGTATGGGACTAACATTCTTTAAAAAAGTATAACTTCATCACCAAAGTTATGTGGCCTTCATCATTGATAAAGGCGATATCCCTCTGATATGTAAAACTGACGTGTCTAAGGACCCAGACAACACAAATAGAACCTCAGGACGTCCTCAGTATGCCTTCGTGAGGACAAAATGGCACCCTCAGAATGTCCTCTTATTGTACTAGAATGGCACTAATCCCGTCCCCTTGTTCATACACATAACAACCTCAGCACATCCTCAAAAAAACACTTCAGGACTTTTTCAGTATCTTTTCAGAACAACAATTGCGTGGCCAGTTCGGTACTGTGGGCAGTGATACAACTCAGGATTTACTTCTTTTCATGATATTTTCATACATCAAAAGAAAAACACCTGCGAGGTCTCGTGTATATATACTGTATCAATCAACAGACAGGTGACAAAACAAACAAAGCTTGTTGACTGAAATTTATTTGTTTAACAGTAATTAATGACCACTGACAGCTTTGACAGACATTCAAGTCCGCATATAGTCTGAAAAAAGAAAAGCAGTATCAAGGCAGTCAACACAGCTCAATCAAACACGTTTGTAACCTTCCTCGAAAGTTTGACACATGTCCTTATCACCACATGTATCATGCCCAATGCACTCACTAGTGTTTGAGGCTCTGCTCTGACAGCCCACCAGTTCACTCGACACGGGCGTCGACTTGACTTGCCCGAGGTCGGGTCATGTGTCAGATTCAAAAGCCGAAACTTTCACGTTGGGACCAGGCTGCTTCGAGGCTCAATTGATCGCGATTGGCTGGTGTTCCAGGCTGCTTCGAACCACACCTCGCCGCGGTCGGCTGGTGACAATACATTCATGATCAGTCTGAACGTTGAGCAGACCAGTGCAGCCATCAACACGGCAATTTACCTCCTGCCGTCACCTACGACTTACACTCTCACACATCTCACTTTTAACCATGCACACAAACAACAAAGGACATGAACCTTCACTAGTGCCGTTGTCAGAACACGAACCTTCATTAGTACACTGCACTTTCTCTGACAGACCCCGTTTTGACAGTCAGTTGGCTTCGAATGGCTTGGCTACTTGACTATCCAGATTGGTGCCGCGTGGTCAATGGTTTCCAGCTGCTAGTTCGTTATTATGCACTACAGCAGCATATAATGACTTATTTAAGGCTGTGATATTTAGGAATACACTGTTTCAAATGGACATTTTGCAATACCAGGTTCGATACCTAAGCCAATTATTTACGCGTGTTTCATTAAGCGAAATGCGTAATTTGAAATTTTTCTGCCAAAAAAAGAAATAAACGAGGCGAAAATATACAATAACTTTATGACTGTATAAAACGAACGTGTGAAGAAAGTTTTCACATTTGAAATACATCAGTGGTGTAAACCTCCGGGCAAACGTGCTTTGCCCAGACGGGGGTCTATATTGCTTGTACTTGCAGCTGCCGTAGTGTGGCTGCTTCTCAGCGTTGTAGGTCTCGGTGAGGCGGTGGGTAGAGGCGTCTGCTCGTTCTGTACCACTGCAGAACGCCGGCGTAGGTTGTGATAAAATACTCTCCGTCTTCGGCATCGGGTCGTTGCGGCTCCGAGGAATGCGTTGTATGCCAACACTGCAAGAAGGCTGCGGGCCACCCAGAGACACCTCCTTTGGGACTGTGCACCACCGCCGGGTAACCAAGAAGTAATGCCAACTGCCATAAGCAGCAAAGTTATCAGCCGAGAGCCAGGCAATCAAAGAGATGTGGTCCAGCACATGCTTAGCATCCTGGAACGCCAGCGGCCGAAAGCGGCGCCCCCAGGGGTTTGACGCGAGTAGGTTGCTGCTCCGGGACGTCCGAGCAAGCAAGTGTCTCGCATTAATCCCCCTACCCTTTCCCCCTTTATGCCAGATCGTCAATAAAGTTGTTTCACTCACTCACTCACATTTGAAATGCATCTATTTGGTGCGCAAAGGTGCATATAAGTGCTCAGTGCGATGTTCTGAGGACCTTTTCCAGACCAATTGTTGTCCTCAGAAAGCACTCAAAAAAAGGTTTGAACTGGCACTAGTGCGTTGCTTTTGTCCTCTCCAAAACGTCCTTAAAATTACTTTTTCAGGATAAATAGTTGTTCTCAGAAAGCACTTGAAAAGACGTTTCTGAGTCAAACCAGCTTGTGTGGTCCTCAGTAAGTACTAAGGTCAATGAGAACTGTGCGTGAACGATTGTACCATACGAGGTCGGCCTCAGGACATCGAGTGTTGTCTGGGGAGGTTCAACAAATACTGGATTCGAAGTGCTGCCATTGCTATATGGAAAGAAAAAAAGTGATCACAGCATTTGCTTTCTGAAAGAATTAAACTTCTGACTTGTAAGTGAGAAACTTCCTTTGCTATGTACAGTAGAATCTCGATGATATGATCACGGCTGATACAAAATTCGGGGCGATATGAATTTTTCTGTAATCCCGGCTGAGGCCCATTAATTTACTATGTGCTAGAGTACGGTTGTTTGAACAGATTTTGTTATTTTCTGTTTTGTGTATCAAACAACAGAGAATAAACTTCACCCCACCGACGGCCGCGGAAGCAAGTAGCGTGCACGCACGCGCTGAAATGCGTACTGCGCCGCCAGTTTGGCACGTTGTCAGCATCGCCTGTGAGCGACGGGCGACAGACTCGAAGATCTGCGCAATCTCGAATGCCAGAGTGTGCCTTTTGCTTTCTTTTGAAAGCTCCAGATGGCGCTGGCAACGGTGGAGACACAAATTCAATCCAATCTTGGTGGTGAGTGCTCTCTGGTGTGGACACGTGGTTACTGTAGTGCGGAAGCTGTCGACAGTCTTGCCCAGTCGAGCACAGGTATTTGCTTTGTTGTGCCTTTTTGCAGAGTCGCAACAAGCCATGTCTCGCAAGCGGAAGACTCTCTCGTTTGAGGAGAAACTGGAGATTCTTCGAAAGGTCGCTGAGGATCCGAAAAAAAAAAACGCACGGAGTTGGCTCAGGAGCTAAGCCTTGCTACGTTGACGTTGAGCACAATTATTGGACAGCGGGACACAATGATGAAAAATATGCTTTGGTTCAGCGTCAACACAAAGCAAGCGAAGACAGCCCAACACGTGAAACTTGAAGAATCTTTATTGATCTGGTTCAAGGAAGTTACTGCAGCCGGTGTGAACATTGACGGCAAAGTTTTGCATGAAAAAGCCAACGAGATCGCACTTGCTCTGCCCGTCAACGAATTACAAGCCTCAGGTGTGTGGCTGCATCATTCCAAGACGAGACACGGTCTCAGTGTACAAAAGCGTCTGCGAGGAAGCCAAGAAGGCTGACGAGACCGTTGTTAGCGACTGGCTCGCGAAGCTGAAGTGTCTTATGTCGAGGTATGAGCCTCGTGATGTTTTTAATGCAGATGAGGCAGGCCTGTTTTTTAATCTTCAACCCGGGAAGAGCCTTTGCTCTAAAGGTGAAGTGTGCCAAGGAGGCAAAAGAAGCAAAGAAAGAATAACCGTTCTTATGTGCTGTAATGCCGACGGGTCAGAAAAACTTAACTTGACTATAGTTGGAAAATCAGAAGCCTCGGTGTTTCAAGCGCGAGAGCCATTTGCCATGCTTCTATAGCGCAAACAAAAAAGCGTGGATGACGGCGGTCCTGTTCGAAGAATTTCTGTCTTTCCTTGACAGAAGGATGGCCTGTGAGAATCGGAAGATTGTTCTGATTCTTGACCAGTGCGCCGCCCACCCGAAGCAAGTGATGCTTCAAAACGTCAAGCTGGTTTTTTTGCCCGCAAACACGATGACGCACTTGCAGCCGCTTGACGCTGGCATTATAAAAAACATCAAGCATTATTTCAAGAGCCTTCTTGTGTGCGCAGCCTCCTAGCCAAAATCGACAGAAAAGACGAAGGTGGCCTGCGAATGAGCCTTTTGGATGCAATCCATTTTGTCTCAATGGCCTGGGATAGAGTAACGCCGACTATCATTGCGAACTGCTTTGGTAGATGCGGCTTCTTTAGGATTCCCGAAGAGGTGCCAGAGGCCCTTTCAGAGTCCGAAGAGCCCATTGAAGGTTCGGAATGCCTTGATGCCGGGTGTTCAGCTGATGACTTTTGCACGGTGGATGACAATCTCGCCACTTGTGGTGCGCGCACGGTGGAAGATAATGTCAACCAGGCCACGTGTGAGGTTGCCGATTCCAGCGACGATGACGAGGAAATGGACGAGTGTGACGGCGAAGGACCACCACCGGCGGCTGAAGCTCTGCACGCGCTCGACGTCCTGAGGCGTACTATTGCTGCTGAAGGAATCAGTGATGACACGTGCACACATTTTTATGGATTCCAGAAAAGTCTGCTGAGTGATTCAACAAAGAAAAAGAAGCAGAAAGTCATCAGAGATTTTTTCTCCAAAAATAAATTTTTTTTCGAGTGCCGAAAATGTGTTTATCTCCGACTCGGTGTTAATTTAGCTAGTTTTGCATGTGTTCCGGCGAATTTCGGCTTTTATGAATATTTTTTGTGACCTCGCGAGATTCGTATCCTCGAGATTCTACTGTAAACTCATTTCTATATGCTTTTATTCATCATTATAACTCTAAAGATGATTGTACGAATATCACTTCTGCCTGCTAGGTACAGTAACAAATTAGACAAAAAAATTGGCAGCATATCCACGGAGTGAATGATGGAAAGTGGGGCGAAGCATTCGTCCGTCCATTCGTTCTTGCTTCCGTCTGTCCATACGTCCGTCTGTGTGATCGTCCATGCGTCCCCCCCTGTGTCCGTTCATGCGTCCATCCATGCATCTGTCTGTGTGTCCGTTCGTCCATCTATTCAACACTCCAAGTACCACCATCTCGCATCTTTTCATCATGTATTCCTCATATAGAAGCACCACCATCCAGCGGACATTCCAAGAACTAAACAAGAGGTGGCACACACACACTTTCTTACGGCTTGCGCTTCGGGTCTACTTCCCACCTTTAACCACCTCAAGTTCGTGGTATATACTAGTTCACTGTATTCATGGCACTGCGGCCCAACGCTCACTAAACCTCTCTAAAACCAAGGAGGTTACGCCCAGCGAGTATAACGTAGCAACCTTTTTCTGTCAGATTGTGCTCAATGTACATGCCAATGACTGCTAATGGCAAATGGAGAATTCGGCTTTTACTTTCTTACGGCTTACGCTTCGTTTCTACTTCCCACCTTTAACCATCTCGAGTTCATTCATGGTATATACTAGTTCATTGTATTCATGGCACAGCGGCTCAACGCTCGCTAAACCTTTCTAAAACTAAGGAGGTTACACCCAGCAAGTATAACGAGCAGCCCTTTCTTGTCAGATAGTGCTCAATGTACATGCCAATGGCTGCTAATGGGTATCGCAGCATGCGCGTTAACTAAAAGCCGAATGCTCCTTTCTCTCACTCCCCATTATCAGCCATTGGCATGTACATTGAGCACAATTTTTTATTGTTCAACAATGCACAGAAGAAATCTCGCACCGCCACCACCTTAGAGGTCAAAATGTTATACTTGTTACATACTACAATGGCTACGAGGGACGAACGCGTGCCGTTATAAGGAGCTTAGCCCCTAAAAACTGCTCTCAAAGGTACTTCTAACTCTGGAATGCAAATTTCTTCCAGTGTTCATGTTCTTGGGAAATTTCCAGTCATGTGAAAGTTTTGTGTATCGCTGTCAAAAGGAATTGAAGGAAGCCTACACATGCAATGCTGCAGAAGCCCACGCATCTGCTTTGTTTTTTTTTTTGTTGTTATTGTCCTAGCACATTGCATCCATGAATGAACATTACAGCAAAAGTGCCTCAATCAGAAAGCCTCTTGGTTTATTTCATGTAGCACTATTTTTTAGCCACTATTAAGCTTTAGATGCATTCGAGCCGGGTTTTGATGAACTCTGATGTCGCAACATTCCTTCCTCAAGTTTTGTTATCATCCTGTTACACTATAAATAATGTTCAGCACACACCACACCTGCAGTGTTCGAGAAGCTTTGCGACTGTAGTAGATTACTTTGTTAAGTATGGACGCGAGTGACAAGGCTGGAAAATTTGACAGCACATGCCCAAATACCAATGCGCTTCACTGCTTGTCAATTGATCGACAACCGACGCTCTGCTCGCCGATATTAGTGTCAGTGTGTATCACTGTAATCTGAGTTTTCGATTACTGGCCACAAGCTCGGCCGAATAAACAGTTTCATCTTAAGCATACAATCTGCTCACTTCGTTCACGTCTCTCCGTGACAATATAGTGAATCATCGGTTATAGTTAAGTAAATGAAAACTTTCATTGGTCAGGCTTGATATCAGTGGCATTTATTTCTGTAATGAAACTGAAGGTGCCAGAGCCCCTGCGATAGCGGATGTAACAAAAAAAAAAGATTGGTTCGCATGAGGCTCGAAACCCAATGTATAAGGACTATAAATAACGAACGACAATTCGCAGCCAAACTTTTGTTTAAAATGTGCTTCTGACAACAATTTAGCCAAAATGTGAATTCGAAGTTGTCGTAGAAATAGGGATTGTGGATACCATAGATATGTAATGAATAGGGAAAGTTGGGCGAGTTGGTTTGAGGACAGTCTTGGAAAGGTTTCGACGCACACAGTAGATGGGAAAACAAAAGGTGAGAAGACAAACAGGAATCGCAGTGTCTTGTCTAAAGAGTGCCTTGTTGAAGTCATGCATTCATACCAAGAATTTAGGATTTCTATATCAAATCAACCATCTGGAAATGGCTGCATGCCCAGAAAATGTCGTAAGCAGAGCTCTCGAGAAGAATATTAAGATTTCAAAGGTTGGAACAGAGCATGCATCTGCAAAAAAAAAAAAAAAAAAAAAGTTACACATTGAAAACGCTTTGCTGTTTTACCTTACATTAATCGGTTTTCACATGAGCTCAAGCATGTAGCCAATTGCTTTGGTGTAGCGGTTGTTTTTAGTGCACCTAATAAGGTTCAACACATCTGTAGTTAGGTAGACAAAAATTTGACGAAGTTAAGAATAAAAAATGCATTTGCCTTGCAAAAGAATGTGGAAAGTTTGTGAGGTGCAGGATAGGGGTAGTTTATTCATTGCCCTTAACATGCGGGGGTGTATATATAGGTCAGACTGGCTGGTGCATTACACTCGCCTTAAAGGGACACTACAACACTTTAAGAAAAAAAAATTGAGATTATGGTGTTGTGATACGTAATTTCATGTGGCGAACTCAAAAATGAAATCGAAAATTTTCGTAAACCAATGCAAATAACTTTATTTAGCCTAAAACAAGCAGCAGCTGCCGCAGCCACCATCGTGAGTCTCGCCGCTGCTGTGATTGGTCGAAACCCTATGACGTTACTGTCAGGAAGGTTCTGCTGCGATTGGTCGAAGCTCCATGACATCACAGTCAGGAAGGTGAAGACAGCTGACTGCACTCGCCGGCAATCAATGCTGTATTTATCTGTTGAGGCGCTGCGCCGTTATCCCTAAGGGACTGCAGAAACCAGGCACATTTTCATCTTCTTACCACCACCACCACCATATCTGTTGAAATCGGGCAGTTGCTGTAAGTATGGTGAACTGTGAAAGTCGGACCGAGTACGCTGTACATCTGTACATGTTCGAGCCAGTCGCCACCACTTTAAGGGCGACGACTGAAGCGGCACAGAAAAGCGAGTCCCAACCAGCCACCTTCACTTGCGTTTGGAACATACTCTGGCACGTATAGGATGCATGCCAGCGCTTAATTTCACTGTAGTAAACTGTTACAAATGATACGCTCATCAGTGGATATCGGATTCGACAAAAAACAGCAGCATCCTATTGACACGGTCCAATCTACGTGTGGGCAGCATGCAGAAACATCAGCTGTTCATGGATTCCACAGCTCAGAGTGCAGCGTTGTTAATGCAGTCAGTATCATACTTCGCAGCGGTCAAGGCACACGTGATGAATCAGTATGCTACCCGCGGAAAAAAAAAGAGCTAGACAAGTGCTGCTGTTGTCGCAGTGGTAATATGTGCTGTGAACTGCGCTGAAAGTTGTGCAATAGTTTGGCTCATAAATCGCAATTCTGTTTTTTATAATATCGTCGCTTTTTATAAATTCTCCCTAGTACTACATTGATGATGTGTTGAAACTTAACAGTGTATTAGCTGCCTTAGGAACATGTGACTGTTGTGTAGAATAGCTGATTTAGAATATGTGTACTGTATCTTTGTACACGTGTTTTCGCTATACGTGCTCATGCACGCACTGCATGCGAATGGGGAAAGAGGAGGAGTGCTGCTGCTGACTTGAAATATGGTAGATTCGCGACCGCCACAGTGCGCTTCGTCTCGTAGGTTTGAAGTATTTTTTTTAGAACTGCAGTGGCCCGCTTTGCAGCCATCCTCTGATCCTGAGGAAACTTGTGAAAAGCGACCTTACTATTGCGACCGTAAAGGCTGTGGCAGCCATATGCCGTGCAGTAACTCAGCATTGCGAGTACCCTCAACCTTGCAAAAACACAACTAGTAAATGTTGGATGGCAACAATCTCTGATTAGAAAAAGAAAACAGTGCAATAGCAAGAAGTCTCTATGAACTGGCAGAACTGATGCTTCGCCAGGCAGCAGATCGCAGCAGAAACAAGGCACAACTGCAAAGTAAACAAGCTGGGATGACTGAGCGACGCAGGCAGCCCGGCGCATAGTTGCCCGCTGAGCGGCGGCTCGACCCTGAAGGTGACGTCAGCTCTCCACATGTCGATCTCTCCTGTGCTCTGCCCCTGCGTGTGCGCGTGCTGGGCAGGGGGGTCGAAAATTGCTCGCTCATTGCGCCATTGTGTAATCGAACCTCGCAAAAAAAACCTCCGTTGGCATGTTGTAAAAGGTCTCGAATATCGAATTCACAATAAATTCGCGAAATCAAAACCTCTTCAGTGTCCTTTTAATGAACATTCTTAACAAAAATCACCTATAGAAAAACCGATAGCCGATGGGAATATTGAATGTATTGGTCTATTGGTATCCTATGGGTCTATAAGTAGCATTGGTGGTCTATTAGACCTCTATTAGTCTATTGGTGCATTTTTCCTATGACATTCTATTAGCTTATTTCGTAATGTTCTATTGGCGTATTGGTCCTACATATGTCTATTGGCATTCTATTTGTCTATTAGTGCTGTATTTGTGCATTGGAACTATATCGGCTTTTTTCCCAGTTCCATGGCTTTGGAATAAAAATAATGGGCATTTAAGGATTGCAGGATAACAGCACCTCTATAAAACGAAAAATATCTATTCAAAGTGAGATCTGTATTATATTCATAATTAGTAGAAGATCATTTCATCAAATCTGCAATCTTCCCAAAAACAAGCTTTCCAAGCTTGCTGTTCTTCCTTGTTAAATGTATGCAACTGCACCCCTTCTCCAGGCAGTGCCTGAAAAGAAAAACAGATATAAAATACCAGAAAGAAGAAAGGCAAATTTTTAGAAGTGCTAATAAAAAAAATCACGTATTAAAAAATGCATAGTTGAGCACTGTTATATTGAATGTACATATATAGAATTTTCCGGTATATCAAGCTCCCAAGCTAGCTCAAGCTCCCTTTGAAATTCCTTGGTAAGAGTATACTATAGAGATTCGCACGTTTATATCGAACGGTATTTTTACCCACCTTCGGATACATTGAACGCTGCGCGGCCTGGAAGATGCGCTACGAGACTCTTACACCCCCCCCCCTTGCGATCTCCGTGGCAGCGCCGCTTCATGCACGAGCTGGAAGGCGTGCATTTGGCACTCAAAGCAGCACCCAGTGACTTTCGCGTGGCACCATGCCTCCAAAATCCGGAACGCTCAAAAAAAGGTAAGGCCGAGAGGGTTCGAACTGTGCGATTTCCAACTTGTGGAACGGATTTTTTTTTGTTTCTCTTTCTCTCTCTCTCTTGCTTTCTCCGCATATGCGTCGGCTCGAAGAGCAGGAACGAAGGAGTCGACATCCTTCTCCTTTCACCTTTTCTTTCATTTTTTGTTGCTGTTTTGCGAGGTTTGATCAGCCAACTACAGCTTGAACCTTTTCCTGTTGCCCTCGCAGGTGGGAATCATCTCGCGAGCGCTTCGTTGCTCTCGACCTGTCGCGTCGCATACGTACCACCGCATGTGCAGCATTTCTTTTGCATGAGTGGTGTGCAAAGCCGCTGTGGACTCCTTAAATTCTCGACTTCTCGTGTAGCTATATCTAGCGTCAAGAAGCGGAAGACCTTTGCCTTTGGGACGAAGTTCTAGGCTATTTCGAGGCGGGCGAGAACTGTTCGACCATGGCGGACGACTTCGAGATACCGCAGAGCATTTGAGTACCTTGTTAAAAAACAAGGCAGATATCAAAGCAAAGGCAGTAAATGTCGGGAACCTGTCATGTGCACGGTTCTGCCCATGGGAATGTAAAAAGGGCACTTTATGCCAGGTTTTTAGCAGTGTGGCTGAATAACATTCCGGTGGATGGCCTGATGCTAATTGCCAAGGCCTAATGGTTTGCCACTGCACTCAATGAAACAGCTATGCTGACAAAAGAGGGTGGCTTGACAGATTTAAATAGCGCTAAAACATTGTTGACGAAACCAATTCTGGCGAAAGTGAAGCTGTCAGCAGTGAGGAAATCTAGCAGTGGATGACGAAAGAGTGGCCAGAAATCTCCACTGCGAAGTTTTCTCCCGCGGAGATCTTCAATGCCTGGCGAGACGTGAAGACGGTCAACTGCCCACAGTGGTCAACTGCTTCTGCAAGGCAGGATTCGAGATGGCAGAACTTGCGGAAACCAATGAAGACGACGACAAAGAGCGCACAGATGACCCGCTTTGCAAGTTGTCATAAGATCGAGACTATAGCGTCTTCAACATTTCAAAAACAAAAAGGCGAGCCAGGGTTAGTGATTTTTTTCATGCAAGTAAATCATTCTGTTGTGGTGTGTGTGCAGAATTTGTTGTCATTCTTGAATGCACCTATTGTAGGTGATGATTCACTACAGGTAACTTCTCGGGACCTCTATTTTTTTATATTGAATTTTTCATATATCGAACTAATTTGCGATCCCCTTCGAGTTCGATATATTCGTGTTCGACTGTAGAACCAACATGAGGGAAATTCTGGTTAGTTCACTGTAGGTAACATAACAACTTCACACAGTAGGGATGGATATTTTGTCACATCTGTGCAGCAGATTTGATTATGCTTGTGTACCAGAAACGAAACATCAGTTACTTAGGTGGACCTTGGACACTTTCGGGCAAGGCGAAGGGGCACTAGCACCAAATCGATCCCAGCATCTGATTTTTGGGAGTCACGCAAAAAGCTTTGCTAAATAAGCGCCTCTACTGCAACCATGTATACTACAGGGTGGGTTCAATGAGCATGAAAATGCTAATAAGGATGGGAGAGCCGTGCCGGATTTTTGTTGGCAATAAGCTCAGCTTCTTTTCTGTCCCTGTAGTGTACTAATATATTTGAACAAAGGCATTAAAAAAATAATATTTTAGTCTTTTTGAATCCCTATGAAAACAATGCACCAGTCAGTAACGTGCATTTATGCCAGGGTCTGTATATGCGAACAGTCCACACAGTGTTTAAAAGTGTTGTACTGTAGAGTGGAAAAACTACTGAAACAAATAAAGCGGCCAAACACCTTTATCGGGTATGCGCTTTGATGGCTGGCAAATACATAAATTATAAGCACAAGAAAAGCAACTTCTGTTGACTAACAAATATATAAAACAGTTCACTTACTTCACAGCCGCAGGGTATGTGCTCAGAAGAAATCACCTTGGTGGGAATTGTGTCGGCACCGGTACCATTTATTGCTGTTTAAGTGTGAGACGCTGCTTTCAGCACTGCAACTCCTTTGACGTTCATGACTAATCTAGCACCATTGTCGCAATTCTATATGAGCCAATTTAACTTTAAAATACTTTTAAATCTATACAAGCACCAAGCATGATCATGCCCCCCGACACACTTGGCCAACAACAGCTGCGGCTGTGGTTGGCTGTAGTTGGCTCGCACACACGCTTACTGGCTTGAGCACTCGTGCTGTGGTCGTGCCAGAAAAATAAGAGTTTGTTTTCTCACTTTTTATTGCAATAAATATTTTTCTCTCGTCAAATATACTCAGCTGCAGAAACATTAAAAAATTATAAAAAGCATAGCAAACTGAAATGTTAATGGCACAAATAAAAATAAAACGTAAGACATTCAGCGCCTTGTATGGTGACCTTATAGTCTTTTTTTTTATATTTATTGAAACCTTTACAGTGCAGTCCACTTATAACGATATCGAGAAAACCTAAAAATATGATCGTTATAACCGGTGATCGTTATATCTGGACTGCCGCCAAAAAATCGTCGCCGGACGTACCTTTTGTAGCTCCAGGCTTCATTTCACTATTTTCACCAATTAATAAATATTGTAGATAGTAGGATGTCAAAAACAAGACTTTATTTCTTACTCCGAAGAACGCATCACGGTTTCGCTGAGGAAGAGAGACTGACCGACGGTGGGGTGGGAGCAGTGGGAGGAAGAAAGCACAGCCAGAGGTACACAGCCGGAATGCCGACGAGGCCCCGCCCCGATGCCGCCGCGCCGCTTTGCTTTTCGCTTTTTTTTATTTTCTCTCTTTCCCGCTTTCGTTCGGCAAGCTACGAGTAGCTTGCCGGCTTGCCGTTGTAGAAGGCGGGGAGCCGCGGAGCGCGGCGCTTTGCTTTTCGCATTTTTTTTTTTAATTCTCTCAGCCTCTCCGCGATCAACGCGCGGCGAGGCGCAAAACGTGACACAGCTGGCGCCATCTGTAGCGCGTCGCGCCAACTCGCGATGCTCTCCTCGGCTTTTTGAACGGCCGGGACGCTCTGCCGGCGCTGTGCTGCAGTGGCGGCAGATACGTACTCGCCTACGCTAACTTTTCGTCTTGTCTCGGCATAGTTCGTTTCAGAGGAATTTATCAATCTAAATGTTACGATTATTCTGAATGAAACATGCCGTCCACGGCAAACTTTTCATCGTTGTATCCGATATGCGGTGGATAACATATCGTTATATATGGTTTTTTTCCCCATAGCCCCAATGCATAAAATGAGACTGTTAAGTCGACCAGACGTTATAACCGATATATCGTTATATGTGGTATCGTTATAAGTGGACTGCACTGTACTGCACTGTAGCATCTTTCAAATGTTAGACCTTTTTCATTTTAATTTGTTCTGAGGTCTGAATAATAATTTCTATGTAACTATCCCATGCACCAACGACATCAGTTTCTTTTATCGCAGGAGATTCGTGCACCCCTGCAGTTACTGAATCTGCAGGCCGCGGCAGTGAACGTGAACATCGATGTTCATTTTTCAAGCACTCTAACAAGCTCTCGTACTCATTTACTGCATACAGGGGCGGCGGAAAGATACACGAACAGCGCTCTTCGAATTTGTCTTCACCGTGCTCTTAGCTTGGTCATGTTAGTCCTGTTATTATATATGCATCATGAATGACTTCTGTTATTATTACCACCAAGGCTACAAGTGTTCGAGAAGTAATGCGACCAGTAGAGCAGGGAGGCGTACTGTTGGAATTTTTTTTATTATTATTCCAAGAACCGTACTCGCCCACCGGCTAAAATTATGGGTAATTACACATTAAAGCAGGCAGTGACAATTTCTACCATACACTTTGACTTCAGTTATTTTATTAATAGTTAATTTTCTCATCCTTTTCACAGTTCGAACAAAAGCAGTATGCTGCTGCCTCTACGCGAACATCGTGACTCCCTGCTGAGACATTACCTGCAGTCATTGTTTTTTCAGCTCTATGATAACTTTCCCTTCTGTGAACACTTATATTGTGGGCTTATAGAGCCCGCAAACATTATAATCATAATCTTGAGTGCAGAACAAAATTACTCATATTCACTATGGGTGTCAAACTATTTTGGTGAAATTTATTAAAAAAATGGGTGCAATATTTTGGTATACACATATATCTGTCACTTTGCTCATATATTGAACAAATCATAAACTCCTTTCTGTGATATGAATGGCCTCATAATACCATGCATATAACCTCACAATTATTTGATTATAGTGGCAATTCACTCCAGCTAGTTTTATAAATGACAAATATATGCTGTTTATTGACTCTATAAGTGACAAATCACAGCCAATGAGTACCAATACGCACCTTCTTCTATCACAGCCAATGAGTAACCAATATGCACCAATAGCTGTCGCCTATACGTACCAATACATATTTATTGATCCGATAGGGGACAAATGACTGTCTCCTATTGAACCTTAATAGTACCAATACGTGTACGTGTCTATTGTTTCTATAGGTGACAAATAGCTACAACTTATAGGCACCTAATTGGGTCTTATTGGTGACAAATAGGTGAGGTCGATTGGTCTTTATTGGTGTCAATGGAATTCTGATAAGCCCGATAAAGTACGAATACAGCTCTTATAGAACCAATAGAATTTTTTTATAGGACCAATACATTTCATTATTGGCATTTCTGCAAGGAATTACTACAAATCTTTGGAAAATAGCAATCACTCCCACCTAACTGAGCATTGCAGCATCTGCCAATGTTATCCTGTTTGATGTGGCACGAACAATTTGTTTTATCACAAAGACAAGCGAACTTTGGAAATAGTAGAAGTGTTTCATATCGAAAGATGTACTGATGAATGCGTAAGCAGCCCATTCATTGCACTAACTGACAAGGACTTCATCTTTTTGAGCCGTACTTGATTTTAACATTCTCCTACACATTGTAGATACCATTTATGTAAAAAAATTACTTTCTTAGTGTTATTGTTTGTTTTTTCTTTCATTTTTTTTCTCTTGTTTTCTTTTTTTTTATGAGCACATGCACTCTTGAGCTATCCTGAGATATATATTTCATGTACTTCTTTCAATGAACTGAGTTGTGAGTTCGGGCCTGTTAGTCTTCGCAACTTTCCTTTTATCGTCTACTGTGTGCGCGTCGAAATTTTTTCAAGAATGACCATAGATGCAGTCGGAAGAATGCGAAGGCGCTTTGAGAAACTCACAACCTGGCATTATGATGCTCTGCCCTGCAGCCTTCTTTTCCTGTATCTGTTTGTTGCGGCTTTTTTTTTCATCTTTAATCATGTACAATCATGGCCAATTATCGACATTGTTGGAGAAACTTCTGAAGACCTGAAAATATTGAAATGAAAGGGGCTTTCTTGTACATAAATGATATGAAGAACATTGTATTACATGTGCTTTTGCCTTTAGTATTTCTTGTGCCAAGCAAATATACTTTCTTGAAGCATATATTTTTCCTTAAGAGTGCTGAATGCTGGGCAAGTTGGTAATTCATAACAACAAAACTGTGCGAAATAGTGACAAGAAACTGAGAAGGCACACACACTGCCTTCTCTGTTTCTTTTTTGCTTTTTTGCGCATTTTTGTAGTTATATTTGTCTTTAGTGTAATAAGGAATATCAGATGTTGAAAACCTATTTATGCACCCATCAACATTATAGCGAGCTTTGACTGTATTTGAGATTGATGCAGCACTCTTAAGAGGAAATACGAGGAGGAACAACACTATCCTTGCAGGTACGTCAAGAGTAAACGTCCCAGCATATCACCTAACTTCAACTTTCTCGGCCAGCTGTTGGAGTACGAGCGCGAGCTACATGGTGAGGCCATTCACCGGACAGGGGGCGCCGCTAGTGCCCCACTGCCGGAAGAAAAGAGGCCCACCAGCTGCCGTGAAGAGCCTCGCGAGGCGGAACAACCGCCTCCTCTCGTGAGACCTGCTGCGGACCCACGGTTAGTTTGTGCGGCCTTCTCTTTCACATGCACCAAGTACGGTTGCCTCTTGATTATAACGCTCAGCTGCTGACCAGAAGGTGACGAGGTCAAATCTTGACCTTGGTGGCCGCATTTCATTGGCATTAAACTGCTAAGATGCACTCTGATTTAGCCGCATGTTATCGAACACTAGATGGTCAAAATTCCCCTCTACGGCGTCACTCAGGATCATATCGTCGCTTTGACAGGTAAACTTTCAAGAAATATTATTAAAGATATTCCCACTGAAGAAAGTGCTTTAACTGTAGAATCAGGCTGGTGTGTCGTGAAACCACCTATCTAGAGGAAACCCGCAGTCACTTCACAATTCAATTATATTTGGGTGCACCTTGATTACTGTTTTAATTTTTAGGGGGCAAAGCCCCTTAATTAAGACCGTTGAATGCCCCACTATTCATATACCACCATCTGGCGTCTAGAGCAGATGTAGTGCAGGTGGGCCATCTGTGTGGTGCCAGAAAAACAACTGCATCAATCAACTCCATTGTAGGACAATGCCGCCAGGAATCGCTGTAAGGCGCTCTCCGCAGTCGTACCGTCACCATAGGAGAAACCAAACATAAGGTGCTCCATGCAGCGGCTGAAGCCGCGTTTAGACTGAAGCAGCATCTATAATAAGTGACGTATTGCAGAACAGCTGTATCGTTCGTTTGCCTAGGTAGTGACTACGTATGTCCACATTGATCTATTCGATACAATACATTTTTTACGACATGTCAATCGCCGCTCTGTATGTGCGTTGCGCTCTCGTTACAATTGCAGCCAAGCAAGATTCATGTTTTGACTGCGGGCTGGGCCTGATAAGTTTAAAAGGAAACACACGTCGTGTCTACCTTCTAATCTGGAAAGCCAACTGCACAGGTGCACTACTGGAGGGCTTTCAAGACATTCGAAGTATAGTTATCGCAAGTGACTGCATTCACAATGACACCGGCATTCGAGAGGAATACAATGCAATGCAGGAGCAGTTTAGCAATAGCGGAGCCTGGTGCAGCCCCTGACGTGCAAAACGCTCCGACAGTCTGCGACCAGCCACCGAGGAATGGTCGGAAAAGGAACACTAACACATGGTCACCATCTTTCACTTGGTCAGTAGGCTTCGTGTGCTCTGCTAAGTAGACCTTTCCAAGCAGTGTCATATCCGATTCCCTTACATAAAGGCTCATTCTCATGCTCATCTCGTCAAACATCAGGACCCCTAAAGAAAAAAATATTATTTCAGCTGTTTACCTAAGGTCAAGAAAAATCAAAAAATAAAAATTGATACCTCGGCGTTCTCTCTCTGGAATATTTCCCACTTTGTCTTCGAGGATGGCAAATAAATTTTCATCAAATCCAAAGCCGGCCTTCAGATTTTTTAGGTAGGAGTAGATTGTGCGAGGGTGTGGTAGAGGCAGAAAATTATTCTCGTGAAGAAATGTATAAACTGCTGTCGATTTGATTTTTAGCAGTAAACAGTCGTAAAGCCATTATTTTCTATACCTGCAATAAATAAAATGCAGATTTTTGTGTTCACAATTCAGTGACAGCACCAGCAAACAGCACTATCAAAGTAAAACAAAATACTGCATTTTGGTTCACGGCAACACTTTTCAGTTTCTACCATTATCCAGAAAGAAAACGTGCACACTCTGAAAACCGCACTTCACATAAAACTCCAAACACACTTCACAAATGGGATCTTACCGTGCTGCTTTCTAAGACTTCATATTTGCCTTCATGATGCACTGGTCTATAATGAACTTCTCGCAGTCTGACAGCTTGTGAATATCTCCGTACATTCCACCTTTTTTATTCGTGTGCGCCTCCGCTTTTGCGAGTTTACGCTGGCATGATTGAAGCTGTTGCTTCACACTGCGAAGTTGCGCCTTCACTCTCTGCAGCTCCGATGCTGAACAAACTGGGACCTCTGTTTGACACTCTGCATCAGCGAAGCCTGGGCGATTCTCAGTTCTTACAACATCTGCAAAGACTGACAAAGAGCAAATTTTATAAGGGAAGGACCAATTTTGTTAGGGTATAGTGAGCGAAATTTGTTAGCGTAGTGAGCGGTTAGGATACTTGCAAGCTTTGTGCCAGACTTACCGTCGATTTCTTCGTCGGCTGCAGTGGAGACGTCCGCATTCGCAACTGTCGCATCACAGTCTAGAGAAAGCTCTCGCGGCCTTTTTACAGGTGGGCGCTTTGTTAGTCCTGCGAACGCTGTTTTGGTTTGGAGAGGTAAGCAGGCAAACCTTAGAAAATTCTTGGCGCGGCGCCTTCCACCAGTCTTGGCCGATCTCGAGGCAGTGAAACGATGTTCCTATTCACTGTACACACGTCCGCACGTACGATGTCACTTGCATCGAAATGTTTTTCGCACGCGCGAACATTCCTAGCAAAAATTCTGGTAGAAAAACTGATAGGCTATCAGGTTATTGACAGTTGTATCAGTCTATGAGTGTATCAGTCTATAAGTGTATCAGTCTATGAGTGTATCAGTCTATCAGTGTATAAGTCTATCAGTGTACCAGTCTATCAGTGTACCAGTCTATCAGTGTACCATCCTATCAGTGTACCAGTACTCGTGTGCCAGCCTATAAGTGTAGCATTCTACTCTGATAGGCCCACAAGCGAATCGGTACTTAGCCAACTGGCAGGTGCACCGCTACATCAGAGCAAGCAGGACACAAATATGAACACAGAAATCAAACAAAATATTTTATTTGATGTGCCATTCGTTGGTTAATCTTTTGATTTCATAAAGTCATTGATTTTGTTTGCCAAAGCTTTATTGAGGAGCTTCTTCATATGCTCAACCTCTCCAATCATAACGGTGTGTTTCAAAAAAATGGTCGAAGAAATCTGCATGATCAAAAACAAAGCAAGTTACGGGCACTTATTAAGCGACAATTATGTGCACTCTAAATAGAGGAGTCAATATGACAAGGAAATAAGTAGGAGCGCTACCAGTTTGCCTCTCTAATATTGTTTAAAATTAGTTTGTAGATTCTTGCATAAAAGTACCCAGCTCCAGTAGGCAAAAGCTGCACTTGAAGCTTTAGTAAGTAATTATAACACAAGTTGGCAGTAAAACCTCGGCTGATTACGTGCAAAAATGGAGCCACCAACTTCCATGAATTTGGTCAGATTGCAAAATTTCACCTACCTGAAAACACAGCATATGTTTCTTTCTCCTAGGGAGATTTTGCCTCCCCTTTAGACCGATTGGAGGCTGCGCCAGTAACACTTCTACCGACTTGGCCTGCTGTATAAAAAATGGTAACGGCTCTCTCACGAACAAAACGGGTCTGTCTTTTCAAGCCCATGGGGTGATTGTACAACCTCTTGGGAACGGCAATTCCTTTGCTCCGATGCACCTATAAAACAAGTCAAAGATGATGTGCACACATTAGTTTGTCAATGCACATTTTCTCATTAAAGCAAAGCAATATATCTTCAAGACAAAGCATACTAGAGTTTTATGATACCTCTCTGTCAGTGGGCACATAATTGATAAGTGGTGCAGCCTCCCTCACACTTGAGTTGGCTACTTCAGGGCTGTCCGTGGTCGCTGTGGTGGTTCCAGCGTGGCAGCACATAGTGGTGGCAAAGGTGCAAGTCGTTTCTGTTTTTGAGGCTTGCGGCTGCAACACCCGCAAAGGACAAGGTTTTTTGCTGCAATGAAAAAGTAGAGTGTGCAGAAATAAAGTGTATTGCACCCTTAATTGTCACGGTAGCATCCTAGGTGTGCATGGTCAAATAATATATATGATAAACAAAGCATGCAGTTGCGATATGCAATTAAAGTGTAATGATACGTTGCATGTCACGTCTCAAAACCATTATGTGATTATAGGCGATGCCGTAGTGGAGGGCTCAAGAAATTTTGACCAAGTGGTGTTCTTTTTAATATCCGCCACACTGTGAAAGTTGTAAAAGCACATTTTCAAGTTATTAGAAAAACATGCATGCATCCATGCCACCCATGAGCTTACATTGCATTCTGCTTTTCAGCAAAAGTGCACGCTATAAGAATAGGGCAACTTGCTGCTGCATACAACCCTAGCTGCAGTGCGTTACAACAGCTTATGAAGAAATGATAAACCTGTTTGGAAATTTTCGCTACGAAGCGCATTTTCCAGTAGGCTTATTCTTTCTAATGCTTTTGTATTTTGAGCCCTGAGCATATATATTCACTTCTTTCAGAAGCTCTTTCTCTGTTCTTTTTTTCAGCATTAGCAAACAGCAGGCCTCCCTGCTGCTTCTTAAAACGGTTGCTGACGTGCTTTGTCTTCTGCTTAACAGCAACTTGACGTCGTGTTTCTTACAACTGCAGACAACCCAACACACAAATTTCACTGCTAGTTCGCAAGCACAAACAGGGCGTATATCCGCACAAGCAAAAATAATTTTAAACCAGTCAGTTGTACAAAAAATTGTGACTAAGCTGCGCTCATACCACGATAGAATAAAATAAAATAGCTTTTCAGCATACTGCAACTTTACCACCACCTTCAATACGATGTTCCGGCTCCCGCGCAGTAGTGGAGCATTGATGCTCTGATATATTCACTAAGGGGGGGGGGGGGGGAGTATATCAGAGCATTGCTGCTTCATGTGTGACACGGCACCACGTGCAGAGCAAAATTGGCTGTCGATTGTAATTACGCCGCAGTAGCACATCAGACGCAATGTCAACGATAGCCAAACTTGGCTGTTGATAATAATTACGCTGCAAGTAGCATATCAGCTGCAGTGTGACCAATTGCAACTTTTTTTAAACGACTCATTGTCCACTTCATTTGAACTGCAGCTATCGGAGGAGTCGCAATCGGGTCTGCGGAATAGATGGTCGTTTTTCTGTTGCATTCCTTGCATCATCCTCGGTGCCTAAGAAAATATGACCAGTAAATAACTTCAGAACGACTGCTTCTTCTTTTTTGTTTTCGTATTGTGAATACAAAAGGCGCGAACTT